CTGTGAAACACCTTTGATCCTACAAAAAAATGGCTTGCAGGCTGAAAGAGCATAGCCAAGATAAATTCAAAGTTAATCTTAGCTCAGTTAAAGCAACAGCTGCTTGTGAATGATCTGCAGTAGAAAAGGACTATTCAGTATTATGCAAGAAGCCTCTTTCCCAAAATTCAGACCTTCTTCTGTGTCTAATCCAGCCCACATCAGATAGGTAGGGATTTCTCTGCTTTGTTTCTTGTGAGATTTTCTCTCTTGCATGCTGATCCACCTTTTCTCACATGGTAGAACTTCATCAACATATCCACAATACTTAATGTTTGAACCTCCTCTGGGTGTTGTGTCCTTTTACTCCTTTGCCCTCTACTCCCTGCATTTGCAAATAACAGTCTGGGGGCTGCTTTTCAGTGTCAAGGGGCACCTGCCTTGAAAGCTGCTGCTTGTCCTTCTGAAGAACAGCTGCACAGAAGAAAAGAAACACTAGGGAAACTGGCTCAGGAGCTATAAATTTGCAGAAAACATGTGAGCAGTCCAAGCCTAAAGCCAAACAGCCTGTGAGACTTTCTCACCACTGTTTATTGCAGGCTGGTCCTGCAGGCTTTTAAGGTTTGCTTGGTCAGTGATTTTCCTGACTAGAAAGCTGACTTTACCACCTTTCTCCTGAAGGCTCCATCAAGACGGTGCTATGTGGTCATTGCCTGAGGTCTCTGCCATACCAGTTCTTGACATTTAAGATACAAAGATTAAGCTGTCACTCTTACTGAATTTAATTCTTAACACGAGCATTTCTATTTGTACTCTCTGCTGCTGGGTGAGTTGATTTCCTTCCCCTCCCAGGTCTCTGAAGTTGTTATAAATCAAGCAGAAAAAGTATCCATAGCTGGGGAAGGTGGCAGGGGGGGAGGAACTGTGAGTTGAGTGCTATTCCCCTCCCTCAGACAGAAAGCAATGCAATATAGATCATGCTGTGTACTTTTTTCAAGTTGTGCTTTCCATAAATGAGTTTCAGACTGGGTGTTAATTTGTGTGTTTGCTGTTCAGGAGCCATCTCTCTGTACCAGTGTTGTTCTTCAAGGTGTCCACCTTCCATGAACTTTTCTGCTTGTCTGCCTTTTCTTCCACAGCCCAAACCTTTTTTCTTAGTCAGTGTGAGCATTGTCACTCGTGTTGCTCAAGAAGACTGTGCAACGACCGTGGTATTCTGCTGGCAAAGTGAGTAAGGACTGTGTAGCTGTCCCACACCTCATATCTGAACCTTACCAAGTGCCATTTAATGTGCTGTGTTGCAGGCTCAGTACACATTACCAGTTGTTAACAGTTTTGGTGCATATCCTGTACCAAACATGTATGTTCTTGCATGTTTGGGAACTACTCTGGCTTGTAGGTGATTTTTTTAGCCATGCAGTACAGATAATGTCAGTGCAGCCAGCTTCATCTCACTGGGATGCAGGCCTTTTAGTAGCCTTCAGGAGAAGGCATTGTTCAACCAACAATGTTTGACAGCCTCAGCAGTAGCAGACAACATTCCTCCTATACTTTGTATTTCAGTCTTTTCATGGTCAGAGAGTTAAGGTTTATGCCTGCAAGCATGGACTTTGTTTGGCATGTTAAAGTGCTGTTTATGTGCCCTGGCTTGTATTCTTCATCCTCCTCTCCCATACAAGAAAAGTTCAACGTTGCATTAACTCCTGAGATATATAGAGCAGTCTCAGACTAACAGAGCATTCTTTGACAAAATATACAAAGATTAAAGCTCCAGGTTTTTTAATGTATTTGTAAACCTTACGCAGCATGTGCTTTCAGCAGCTGGATATCTTTCTTTAAACAATCGTGTTCTTGATATATGAGAGTGTTTTCCTTTTCCCCTTCTGCACGGACAGTTTTTGCACCTCTGCCAAGCTACATTGTGCAGTGCCGTGATCTATATGAAACTGGCAATGAAAGGAGGTGGGGAGGGAGAGGAGTGAAAATCTGTCCAGAGCCACAATGAATTCATAGCCTCTAGTTGAACATGGACACCACTTGCCCTTCCTCCCTCTCGACTGTTTGATTTTGAACTGTTTAGGCCTTGACTTCTAGAGGAACTTAAAGCATTCAACTGAATTCCAGGCTAGTGAACAGGAGCTGCAGACATCCAGTAACCAAAACCCATCCTTTAAATGAATGCTGTCTATTGTTTTAGTCATGATAGATCCTAGTTTTTTTCTGAGGCATTGAAGGGATGTTACAGTTCAAGTCTGTTGCATGCCAGTACAGACCAGGGTTTGCTTAGATGGTTGGCGTGTGGCGTTACATGTTAAAATGTTGATATAATTTAAAATGTCCAATAACATCAATAGTTTGTTTCTAGAGATTTGTCATGGATGATCAAAACTAGCAGAGTCTTACCTAGATCCCACTAGATCCAGTGGAATTAGATTTCTCGTTTAAATGCACTTTGAGCTGATCCTGGAAGTAGCAGAGGAAAGATGTCGTGTTTATCATAGTTTTTAAGCTAAGGAAGGTAAGACTATCCTGTTTATGCTTATGGTCTGTTTAAAAATCTTAACAGTACATTGTGGACACATTGCTTCACTCTGTTTTTAGTCGATTTGATAAGCCTGATTCAGCTACACTATTGAAAAAAAAAATAGTTAAGAAAAGCAGTGGTTTGGCAGGCCAGTGAGATGTTTCCTTTGTTGGGGTAGGCACAGACCAAACAGGAATGTACCTTCTCATGCCATATGTATTTTTAGTGCTAGGTCTGGCTTCTAACACATGCAGGAACCTCAGTGTAATACTGAATTGTTGCCTTTTCAAATAGATGATGCAGATTGTTCAAACTGATAACATTTGGTGGTTCCTGAATCTGCACTTGTAGGTATGTGTTTAGTAATGCAGCACTGGGAAGGGCTGGTAACTCCAGTTCGTTGACCATTTTTAAAGCAACCGCAGATGAAAAACAAACTTAAAGAAATGTGAGTGGAAGCTCCTTGCTCAGAGATTAGGAAATATCAGATTAACTACAGTTGGAAATTGTTTGATCTGCCCATCTTGTATACGTGCCCAGTCTGCTGTTACATGGTCACATTGCTGTTTTTCTGAACCTCATGTTCTTCCTCTGCCCTACTGTGTCCTAGGTGAATGATGCTGTCTTAACATGCTGCTTGATATTTTGTGTAATCTCATTGGCCCCTTCTGAATGCCTTCCTTTGTTAAGTGTTTTTAAAAAGTAAAAGTGAAGTGTGCTAGGGAAGTTCTAAACCACAGACTTTTTCTCAAAGTTACCCGCCATCAGCCTCAGGTGAAAAACTATACATCACTGTCACCCTCCTGGCTTTCACCCAGGCAGAAGTCTCTTGTGTTGACTTGATTATTTTTAAAACAAAGGTAACAAACAAACAAAAAAAAGACCCCAGTACCAACCAAACAGAAAACCACAACAACCAAAATCCCACAACTGAGTGAAGATCTAAGTCATGTATCAGAGCTGAGATGGATGTGCACGTGTTACTCTGTCCCACTGGTAATGGCTGTTTCCATTATTTCCAGAAAACCCTGCAGTTGCCAGTGGTGTGTGTATATATACACACTTTATTTCTTTTTAATCAAACCATTCTTTTGATTTTCTTAATTACCTTGGTACACAGCTCGCAGTATTTTGCCTTGGTTTATGTAGATTGCAATCTTGTTTCCCCCATCTGGGACGCTTGTATCAGCTGTAATCCATTTGTGATGAAAATCCTTCAGGCTTTTTTCAGTGCCTGGTGTTCATGTATCAAAGAGGAAGCTTGTGAGAGTGGTGCTGTGCTCCAGCAGCAGCAGAGCAACTGTAGATACAAGTCCACATCATTAAATAAGGTGTAGTGGGAATGAAAGACAATAATGCTCTCAATGTTGTCTTGATCACAGCATTAGCTTAAGGGCATTTGAGTTTTCTTTCAGTTCAAAATGCACCATGTGCCCTGGGAAAGGATCGCAAGGCAACACTGGGAGGGGAGGAAGTTAACTTGGTGATGAGAGATGTAGTATCTAGCAGTGTTTTCCAAACACGAAGGCACTTTGTTCTATCCCAGCAGCTTTTTCCTGCTCCAGGAAGGCAGTGCACAGCGGGGCTTGCACGCTGGAACCTTGTTGCTTTTTGTTGCAAACGCTGCGGAAAGTCTCTTTGACTTGTACCTCAAACTGGTTTAGGAACTTCACAACCGTAGCAGTTTGGGTGGGGGGGATGTGTCTGAGAATGGGTTATCTGATACCTACGTATCTAATTGAAAATCACCACAGCCATTTTAATGTTTGTAGCTGTTTCTGGGTCTTTGCTGGTGACACTGAGGAGGGGAGCACATTTGGCAGAGTGAAGTGATCCATCCTTCTAGCTGTCAGGCCTGCAGCTCAAGCCTTGTGGCAGGATGTTCACCTATTTTTTTTTAAAGGGGGGAAAAAAGAAAAAAGAAACAAACCAGAACAATGCAAAGGGAAAGCACCAGCAAGAGAACAGTATGTTCTTTGTAATGCTTTTTCTTTGGGGACATCTATTGCTGGCAATAAGATTAAATCACTGAAACCTTCCCTGAAGCTACATCTGCCACTGCCTACATTTTCCAACCTCAGTAATAAACTAACATTTGCCATTGTTCGTTTCTTCTGGATTTCATTTCTTGCAGATTTAACCAGCCCTATTTACCACAAAGCATTCAGTTCTTGCTTAAACCTGAGATCAATGCCAAGTCCCTAAAAATATTCATAGCTCCAAAGAATCTGGTTTTAAATAATGTCATAAAAAGTAGACGATATTAATACAGCAGTTCACACTGAGTTCATGTACTGCTGATGCCAATGTATAGAAGTGATGGAAGCCTAAGAAGCTCCAGACAAGACTGGGGGTGAAGAAAGTCCTTCTTTTACCTTTCTACTAGTTACCTATATTTTCAGAATGTTGTGGTTTATGTTGTATTTTGGGCTCTGTGGGGTGGGTCCTGGCTGCCAGTTTTGGAGGGAGGATTCACACCACCCCCTTCTTCCCACAGGATGCCATAGTGATCCATGAAGTGTATGAAGAAGGGGCAGCAGCCCGAGATGGCAGGCTTTGGGCTGGCGATCAGATTCTGGAGGTAAATAAGTCTCTCCATGAATATACTTGCTTGTATCTTGGTCACATACAGTTTTATTCAGTACAGTGCAGGTTTCTTGCAGGGGAAAGAGGGATCAGTGGTTTGGATCTGTACTTGAAGCTTTTTTTGTTACTGAGAACATCCTGACAAATTCATATTTCCTTATATATTCATATAAACTGAAGGTACAAATTGAGAATATATTAAATTTAATTGAGCAAGGAAGTTCTCGAGTTACATAGTTCAGCTGTCATGTCCAATAGCTCAGGATTATTCCTCTGTTTAATTTTTCATTTGGAGGCCTGTGCTGCCACTTCCTCTGCAAACGAACCAGTGAGCTGGGGCGGGAGGGCAGGGGTGGCCACAACTTGGGAAACCTGGGAACACACAGGATTGTTTCTGCCAATAAATGTCATGTTTTTCCCCTGCAGACAAGCATGGAAACCGAGGAAGGAAAGGGTTAAGAGAGAAGTGTTGGGCTGCAAATGAAACTTTGGTCAGGCAGGGGTTCAGAAGCTGCTTCCAGCCTCTCGCTGTCAGATCAGGACAAATTCCCAGCATGGCCATTAAAGCTTCGGTGTGTAGGGTTAGAAAAATAGCAAGGGATACTTGGGGAGTTGTCTTTACAGCTCTTGCATGGAAAATATTTTTTTTAGCTTTAAGGTCTGAGTGTTGTTTTTGTTTTATAAATAACCATGTATTAACAGAGCACAATAATTAGGGGATAAAAATGGGGAAGGTTAATTAATTCTTCTCTGGCCGAACAGGAAAGTGCTCATGTTTCTGTGCCATAATATTGTTGTTATTTCAGTTTTTAAAAGCCGTACTAATGAATCAAAAAGATGACTCAGAATTAGTTTCAGATTAGTATGATAAAGCACACACAGATGCCTATGTCAAGAAAAGAACACCAATGCAAAATATAAATGTGTGCAGAAATTAGTACAAAAGAATATAATTACTATGGATTAGGCTTAATTATCTTAATGTAAAATTAAGTATGATTATAACTTTGCATATCAAGAAATACTGAGAAGCATTTTCATTGCCTTAAATCTTACCATGTTATGTAAGTGGATTAACCTTGTATTGTTATTCATTTATCGTTCATGCTGCTTCCTAAGGAGACTTCTAAAATATTTAAGCATCAATTTTTGTTTTTTTTTAATTAAGAAATAAAAGATGGTTTTTGTCAACAGAATACTTGCAAAGACCTTAAAGGGCATCTGTGGATCAGGCTTGGCAAAATTAGGAAATTAAGTTTCAAGTTGCAATAGTTTTTTTTTTTAATACTTGAGCATTCAATCAGAACTTCTTGTCCTATCTGATATTACTAAAATGCTAAAATATTTCCAGGTTATTATAAGAGAAATGTAACTGAGTGCTCCAGGAGTGGTCTTGTGTGCCATCTATTGGAATAATGCAAAATAACCATTTACCATGTCTTGCCTGGGCTTCACCATTACCATCTGCTCATGTGTCTGATTCCTCCTGTCTCCAGCTTGGCAATGTGGTTCAGAGAAGGAATCTGAGCAGTAAGAATGTTTAGGAAGCTCAAAGAAGCACATCCCACTTTGTCTAGTCATGAGAAAGAAGCATTGCTTGAGGTTTCAGCTGTTGAAAAGCAGGGAAGAACACCCACAAAACTTGCAGACCAAAACGTTTTGATTACTGTGGTTTACTCCAGGCAGCGGCACAAAGGACTGAACTCACTCAGTAGGAGATCCAGGAGCTCAGCCTTCTGGAAATGGGATCACTAAATTAGAGTGCCAAGGGGTGTCAATTGGAGAGATTTTTCCTGTCACACAAGGGTAGGGTGTGATGAAAAGATCATTTATATATGTCATTTGGAAAGAAAACACTGATTATTTCAGGTGAACGGGATCGATCTGCGGAGTGCCAGCCATGAAGAAGCTATCACTGCCCTGAGACAGACACCCCAGAAGGTGCAGTTGGTTGTTTATAGAGATGAAGCACATTACAAAGATGAAGAAAACCTGGAAATTTTCTATGTAGATATACAAAAGAAAACGGGCCGAGGACTAGGGCTCAGCATAGCTGGAAAACGGTAAGAGCATCTCTCTGCTCAGACTGTGCTTCGGGTTTGCTTTTTGCTGTATAAACAACTGTAGCCCTTAAAGGCAATGTGAAATAAAGGAAAAACTCTGCAAGGAACAGAGTATTCTATCTAAGCAACTTCAAGGATGCCCTGGTGCTGTGGTCCTGGCTCCTGTATCAGAACAAGCCTTGGCAAAGGCTGCTGCTGCCCAGGAGGGCTCCCACCACGAGGCGAGTGTCCTGCTCAAGGGGACTGGGGCCAAGTGGGCACATGCAGAACCAGGAGGTCAGTGTTCAGCTGGCTACACGCTGTGTCTCAGGGCTTGGAAGCCCCGGCCATGGCTTTTCTGATTTCAAAATGGGAGGAGGAACCTCCTTGTTTCCAAATAGTAGGACATGCCTTTGAAAATGGATTTGTGAGTTAGGTCTAGCTCCTGCTCGAGTTCAAAGGGACCAGTGTTAGTGGAGGGTAAGAGGCTGAGTTAGGCTCAAATCCTGAACCGTGTCAAAGTGACAGCACAACAACACAGACAGCAGCTCTGTGAGTACAGAGCCTGAGATACAGTGGTAGGTAACAGCAGCTTAATAAAATGTGACTTTTTACTGATGTATTTCTAAGCCATTGCTATTAGATCATTCGAACCAGGGCACTGCTAGATGTAATCTTTCATTGCTAGAAGAGATTTACAGCATGCCACTGGTGAGCACTCCTTCAGTGCTGGTGCACAAGAGTCATATGGTTGCTCTTCTGCATTGCCAAAGAAAATTTATTTTCTCAATTACAAATCATCGTGTCATTATCCTGGCTCTTGTCTGGTCAGTAAAGTTTCTGCAGCAGTTTTTTACAAGAGTGGTAATGTTTAACCCAGGTGTTGTGAGCAGATTGTGGGTTGGGTAATTAATTTAGCTTATGTAAATTACCTTACAGATGGTAATCACAGTCTCCAGCCCTCCCACGTTTGCTTCTGTGCAAAACTTTCTGTGCTATTGCTAAGTGGTTTCCTCGTGGGGTTTCCCATCTTAGAGACAGCCCAGTTTCCCAAGTTGATCAAATGATACCCACATACAATTCAGGCGGTGGAGTGTTGTGTCCTTCAGGCTGCAGGACACCAAACTTTGGCACTACAGCCACCACCAGCTTATGGCATAGTGATACCCAGGTCTTGTGGCCCAGGGAGGGGACTCCGCTGCAATAACTAAGCTAATAAATAAATACATTCCTCCCATCTGTGTGGCCTGCCACAGAGCTAGGTTTTCTGCTGAATAACTCATGTGCAAACTATAAAAGTATTTTCTGCAGACATCCCCCTGCTCTTATGTTGGGGGCCTCCAGGAAAGAAACTGAGCTGAACCTTTAGAAGCAATATGAAAAAAAATTAAAAATCTGAGGCTGAATAACTCATATCAGGCCCATCAGGAAATAGTATAGCTCCATCTTAGACTGATCCTTGGTGTTTTATTCCTACAAGTGGTTTTTTTCATTAATCTGTATGGATCATACAGTTGGAACTAATGTTTCAAGGGGAAAGACAGCATTAAATATAGCAAAACATGTCTTGGTTTTAATACTGAGATTTTTTACACTGAGATGGTTGAATAGAATGTAAAACTAGTTCTTCCTCTGCTCACAGGTTTCTTTTAATGTCTCTTAAATGCAAGTAATCTAAATTGGTCTCACAAAGAATATTGGATTGTGTAATTAGCCATATGCTTCTTGCATTGTTAGAAATGGAAGTGGAGTGTTTATCTCTGACATTGTTAAAGGAGGAGCTGCAGACCTAGATGGAAGATTAATTCAGGGAGATCAGATTTTGTCTGTAAATGGAGAGGATATGAGAAATGCCTCACAAGAGACTGTTGCCACTATACTTAAGGTGAGTACATAATACATTTTAAGATATTGAATTGCAGTTACTGACACTAGGCAAGGTAATTATCCTGAAGTGCTGTTTACACATATGCAGGACAGCTCAAACTGATTATCAAGACAGGGATTTCCTCTGAAATAACTTCAGGAGATTCATTTAAAATTACTTTTCCACACATATTTACAAGTGGGATGATATGAAGTGGGAAAACAAAGACACATCTAGTATTTAGCCATTTATTTGTAAATGCAACGGAGTATTTCATACGTTAGAAAAATACTTGGAAACCTGAGAGTTAGACAAATCAGAACTGAAATCCAGTTCCTTTGGCTTTTCTGCACTAACCTGCAGCTATAAAATGCAGCTTAAATCCATTTCTGCACAGCTTTCCATCTAACAGGAGTGATTTTATACTCTGAAGTTGTGCAGTCTGGGAGAATTTCCTTTTTTCCATTAGGAAGCAGGTGGCAGCTGGTGTCAGAGGAGAGGGCAGGGCATGGCCTGGCTGTGTGTGCCTGATGTTGGCTTCTCCATACAGCTCCCAGGCCCCACAGCCTGCACCAAGTGTGAAAGGATGGGTGGGTATGATGCTGCAGACCCATTTCTATCCCAAACTGCATCTGGAGACAAGAGCTTTTTCCCTGCCTTCAACATGGGTGTTTTTCCATATAATTTCTTCCATTCTTGAAGGGAAAGGCTAATCATTTCCTTGTTTATTCCATTCAGCTGGAACTTGGTTAGGCAAAAGTTTACCTATTTAAGAATTGGAAATGGGTGGTAGGAGGGTATATTATTAAGTTGAATATATATGTGTTAAATTCACCCCTTTTCTACAGTGTTTTTCTCTGAAGTGTTTTTTCATAAGGATTGTTTTGTGGGGGCTTTTTGTTTATTTTTACTAAGCATTTGGCCATCTACAGTTTCCCAGTAGGAAGATTTGTACTGACTTCACCAATCAGGATAAATTTTCAGGATAAACCTAAATCCAGGGGTGGGTACTTTTTGTATTGTCTAAACCCAAATGTTAATGTTTTGAGCGTTCCTTGTGGTTTTCTTCACGGAGCTGTGGTGCTGACTATAAATGTAGTTCTCTCCAGGAGAGCATGAAATATTATGTCTAAATGCTGTACATTGTGGTTTTCTTCCAAGTGTGCCCAAGGTCTAGTGCATCTTGAGCTTGGGAGACTGCGAGCTGGATCATGGCTGTCATCCCGGAAAACCTCCGAAAACACTCAGGTTAGTGACAAATTCATATGTACAAAATGGAGCTGTGAAGGGCAGGGCCTGGGGATGGTGCACAGGCTCAGTCCTCCCATAGACACTTCTCACTGAGGATGTGGAACAGAATATTTTATTCCAACAATTTTCTGTGTTGAACTGCAAAGGAAGTGTCATGCTGAAATGCTGCTTCAGTAGAAGAGCTAGTTAATGTATTTTTTTGTTTAAGGAGTGTCTTCCTGAGACACCAAAACCACAGAATATCTTTCTCAAATAATGATGCCCAGAAATATTTCTAGACCTGCCAAAAATGCTGAATGTATTTTCTGCAGCTGTTTTGTCAATCAAAATGAGTTAATGAAACTGAACTGTATCTTTGCCTATCTTATGGCAGAACCACAGGAGAGCTGCTTTCTTCTAAAAGAAAACACAGAGCAATTTCCTGCTTCACTTGCTTTTTACCTGAAGCGAGGACAACAATTCATTTTTCAATCAGTGCAGGGCTTTTCCCCTCTCCCTGTGCCTCCCAGTCAGCTCAGATACTGATACCATTTGTATTAAAGCCTGGGTACTGCAAGGGAAAAGAACACAGCAAAATTACTTAGAAAGCTTTTAAAAATGTATTTTCCTTCTGAAGACCGACTGCTTTGCTGTGATATCTAAGTTGCCATTGTCCCTGAGAGAGACAAGCTGTGGTTCCCAGCAGCACTGTTGCTCTAGAATGTTTTGCCCCCTCTCTGCCCAGGGGCAGTTGTCAGGGAACCAGGAGACATAACTTGCACATCATCTTCCTCTCACATTGATGTGTGAGATGGCAGGAGAGGCTGCACACCGGTGGGATCCAGCCAAGCCACCACAGGTGCTCAAAGGACTTAGTCTTGGAAATGGAGAAAGCTGTAGGAAGCTTAGGGGGGATGCAAGTTAAAGCAGGA